CCCCCCCCCCAGGGCAGTACTACTGACTGAAACGTCTTTAGGCCATTCCCTAAAGGGAGGATATTAACATGTTCTTATGCACAGTAGAATTGTAAATGGGCTGATTTATCAATGTCATGCTCATACTGTGCTGGACCAGCGTAGGGGGAACTGCTGCCTTTTCTGTCTTCTTCTTTACTATCGTCATTTTCTCTACTTCTTTTGTATGTTTTTCACGCCTGTGAACTACAATTTCCAGAGTGCCTTGATAGTCGAAGCTTGATTCCCTGTTTGGACTTCTCTGTTGACATCCACCCCTTGTCGCTCATATCACCTATGCAGTTGCGAGCGCCGTAAAAACCTTACTAAAACTAAATCTAGCTGCAGGCAAGCTTGCGATCGTCTGTCTATCCTCCATTTTGTCGACTGGACTTTGTTGTGTGTTCTTTTAGTTCCATATGTTATGTAATAATAATGTATATGTTATTGATGGCGCAAATTAACTCCCTTTTTCGAGCTGGTGTGGGGTTTGATTTGCTGGGTAGTAAATTTTTTTTCCAGGTAGTAAATTTTTTCAGGAAATATTGCTGGACACCCTGAGTATTATAAGCGTGACATTCAGCCAGGATCGGGTCCAAGAAGGTTGGAAGTAATGTGGAAAAGGGATTTTTTTTTCATTTAACAATTGCCTATTCTAACACATCATTACATCTTTTCTTTCTTTCTAGGCGCTGTCTGTCCACTACAGATTGTCGCCCTCTTACAATGACCTCCACTCTGTTCTATCTGCTGTTCTCGGTATCCATGTTGTTCCCATCTGCTATCTGATGTCATCTTGCCACCTTTTTTTTGGTCTTCCTCTTGATCGTTTTCTGTTCTTGGTCTCCATTTAATGCATCTTTTTGTCCATCGGCTATCCTTAATTCATAGACACTGTTTTGTCCTTCTAAAAAAATTAGAAAACATAGCTAAAGGACACACATCACAATAGATACAGGGGCCCCTCAAGGATGTGTTTTGTCGCCATTTTTGTTCACACGGCACTCAAATGATTGCAAAATTAACAAAAATAACATCAAGTTGATTAAATTGGAGGACTGGGGAACAGTGACATTTTTTTTTTAAAGGGGAAATTTGTCCGGGGAACAGCGACTGAGGGAAGCGAATACCTCGTCTTGATGATATTGATGCATTCCATCGACAATAAAAGTTTGTTTTTTAAATGTATTGAATGCTATGTTCTGTCGTAAAAGTTATATCAAATTCGGAACCAGCGTAACAACATTAACAAAATATTTCGTGGGTGACTTTTTTTCCTGCTGGATTGAGATTGCAAAAAGGAAGTGTTTTTTAATCCAGATTGCATCTTATAGTATTTTTTTATGACAAAGAAGAAGGACAACACTACGTTTTAACTAATCTCTTAATAGACCCTTTAGACCTTTAGAAAAATTTCTAACATTTAAAAAATCTGATCGTTGACCCTAGCCCAACCGTGCAGTGAACTGTTGTGAATGCAAGCAACTTATGTTTCGCGCGCTCATATGACATTATGCAGTTGTGAGCGCCGTAAAACTCTTACTAAAAGCAAAAGTTTAGACCTCTAAAGTCAGGATTGAGAGAGGCTAGCTGTGTCACAGTACCCTTTTGAAGTTTGCTGCCGCGCGGAATTAAATTTTGCTTGCAGAATTTTAAAACTAATTATTGCAGCTAAAAACTGATTTCATTTTGGGAATCAAAATAAACAAAGTGGCTCGTGCAGAACCTGATTTTATGCCAAGTATAATTAAACATAAACAAACGTTTTTGAATTGTTAGTGTTGAGTTTGAAGTCATGTATCAAGGTCACCCACTGCATTGCGTATCTGGTATCGAAGCTGCAAGGCCTACACACTGCAGTCACTGTACAGTGTACTGTATGCGACTTAGTTTATTGAGATGTAAGGGCCTACAGATCTCATGAATGTCTGTAGATGATTAAGTCCAGAGACAACAGTAACAAATTATTAAGATAGGTCGTACAAAGAACCTGTATCATTTTTCAGACACTTTAATAAAAATGCAACTAAAGACTGCGATTTAAAAGAGAAAAAAAAATGATATCATGAGAACATTGTGAGTGAACGAATTTCGTTTTAAAAGCCAGTCTTTTGTCCAATTAAGCCTTTTTTTTAAACTTGAAAATCGAGACGAAATGTAAAATAACTGGTCTTGCTGTATTCAATACTGTAGATGATTTACACCACAATGAACTGTAACAAAGAAATATAGTAAAATATTAGTTGCTGTTCCCCCGGTTGTTGTTCCCCAGTTAAAATGATGTCAGCAGTTGCTATTCCCCAGCGCAGCTGATTAAATTTGGGGTTTAATTTTCTGCCCTGTACTCCATTTTCCCGGGGGGGGGAGGCATTCTTACTTTTTTTGGGAGGGGGGGGGGGGGGGGTATTTTAAGAAATTCTCATTTTAAAAATATGTGGTTGGTCATCATGGAGTTGACAGGTCTGAGTACACCTGCTTATTTTTATACTTCCTTTTCAATCAGACTAAAGCACAAGGATGTTTTCCACTTGATCCATGCCCACGGCCTTTACGACAAGATCAGCGACAAGATAATTCAGCTGATGGACCTAGACCAGGAGCAGGCTGTGAAGATGTTGCTAGACAACAACGAGACCATTTCCGTAAGTACACCCCCATCCCTTGTTCTGTTACAGCTCTGATAATGTTATCTTGTTCATCATATCATGTTAACCATATTGCATAACTCCAAGTATGTTTACAACTGCCTGTTCTTACTAGCTATAGACAGACCTGCCACTCTTTAATCAGGATGCCACGATTTTTTTCTCCAAATCTTAAGCACAGTAGTACTGCTATTATTCTCAAACCAAGCTTCGTCCGAGTTCTGTTAAAGGTACAACACTGTACAACAGGTCGGTAAAACTATTTCCTTCACGTGTTTGCATCATGTGACATGACTTCCGCGTGTGAGTTCCGCTTGTGTCAGGAACTTTCCGTTGTCAAGGTTTACTTAAGTTCAAGCATACTGATCAAGGTGTCTTTCAGTACTTATGAGGAGGAGGGGGGGTTAAGACACTAAGGTTAGGAGTACTGGATGTGATGTTTTAGGATTTTAAAAAATATTGATAAAACACACACACACATACACACACACTCTCTCTCTCTCTCTCTCTCTCTCTCTCTCTCTCTCTCTCTCTCTCTCTCTCTCTCTCTCTCTCTCTCACACACATACTCACCCACACACTTACACACACATACACACACACACAAACATACAGAGCAAATATATACATGTATATTTTTTTATGGACACACCTGGAAAAAATGTTTAAGCCAGCTTGGTAGTCACCCTGGTGATTTGTTGTTGATCCTGATTTTTTTCACCAGATCCCAATTTTTTTCACAAGAGATCCTAATTTTTAGATTTCATATAGTGACAGGTCTGGTGTAAACATTGTTAGGTTTGCATGCTCAACACCCAATTAAAAAAAGGTTCAGCTTGGTTATCATTGATACCATTGCGACGCCAATACAGTTGAAGTTGTCCTATTCAGCCACCCATTGTTAAAGTGAAAAGTGGGTGTATTAGACAGATGGATGTCTTTTAGGTGAGACTGATGAAAATATATTTTAAAAAACCTTTCCCTTATGAGGTCCCAACTGGAGGAGAATGCACACTTAAGATTGCTGTAAGGTCCATTAAATTTGTTTTAAAGGGAATATTTAAATTGGGGTTTTTTTGTGCTTGTTTTTTTAATGTAGTTGTTGTTGAGGGAGGAGGGGTTGTTGTTGTTTTTGAGCATTCCTTTTTAAGTGGAGTTGTTTGCACATGGCTGTAAGGCCGTTCAACTAGCCCGAAAACCATTTCAATATCAACAACACAGACATTAGACTTGCAGCCAGCAGAAGAAAAGAAAATGCAAACACCAGAAACCACAACTTCTTTCGTTGCAGAGCAGTCAATGAAAAGCACAACACCACATATAAACACATCAGATTTTAGACATCAGTACACCCTTCTGCATTGGACTGTTCCTCACAAGAAACACAGACTACGTGTAATAAGTCTCTCAAGTTGAGAACTGTCGTGCCCTTTTGTCTCATCTATTGATGCATGATGGCAACATCTAAGACATCCAAACCCACAAAGTTAGCAAAAGACAGCATTGCATTACTAGTATTCAAACATTTCAGGCTATCTGTACAGTCACTACAACTATCTCCAATAAGACCTGTTACAAGAGACAGAAAAAACAACAACGCAAAAACAAGTCAACACATGTTTTTTAAGGAGAAAACTGAATAATTACAACTCTAATGTGACTGAATGCAAAAAAAGGAGGATAGTCCATTTCACTGCCAAATTATGAAAATCAAGAAAACCGTCATCAGTAACAATGAATTCGACCAAAGTAAAACACACACTCTTACTTACCTTACTTACTAGTTTATAGCTTCAGGACTAGTATAGCAGACACATCTCAAGAAAGTTGAACAACCTGACAGGCTTCAGAATTCATGAACGCCGATAACCATTCTCATCAGACTATTTGCAAAAATGTAGAATATGTTTGTGGGTATTTTGGTGGGGTTTGCCCTTTTATTTCCTATTATTCAAACATCCATCATCTTTATCTCTCCTTTCTTTGTGTGTGTGTTTGTTACTACTCTCTTGTGACGCCTCCACTTTTCAGCACTTATCTTTTTATTGCAAGTGTCGTAAAACTCTTACTGAGTGGGTGGTTGGCGGGTGCTGTGGTGTGGGGGGGGTTGGTAAGTGTTTTACGGTGCTCGCAACTGCGTAAGGTCATATGAATGCATGGGACAGATTAAACATTTTCACATTTAACGGGGTGGCGGCCGAAGCCTACTCTTATTGATTTTAGACCACCATGGGATCTTTAACATCCGCAACTTGGAACACGGACCTCTGAGATTTTTTGCCCTTGTCCGAGAAGGATAGGTGTAGTTCTTTCCTACCAGAAGATCAGAGGGGTGTGGCTGAAAGACAGCAGTAAGAATGAGCCAAAAGGTAGCAGTAGAAAGGCTGCAGAGAGTCAGGAGCTCAGAGGAGGGAGCAAAGGAGGTGAGGGGGTGGGAGCAGAAAGTGGAGACAGGAGCAGGTGACAGAATATTGCTAGAGGGCAGGAAAGGGACAATTTTAGAGAAGAAAATTTTTCGATCGCTACCGGATTCGAACCCGGGAGCTTTGAATGAGAGGCGAACACCTTAACCTCTAGGCCACAAGAGCCCCCTGGTGTGGTTTGCTCCTTCTTTCCAATCAAACCCCCGTCATCGTTATCTCCATTCCTTCTTTTTTGTGTTTGTTACTCTCTTGTAACACGTCTAATCTTCGGCACTTACATGACCTTATTGTGTTGCAAGTGCTGTAAACCACTTACGAAAACTAAAAACTCTTACTGAAACTAGAACAAAAGAAAAATGTTTGTCAATATTGTGACAGTAAAGTTGCATGTAAATATGGTTATTAGTTCTGTCACTGTGGTACCTGCTGTTTTAAAAAAAATAAAATGTTGTTATGTGTGTCAGCTTGTGTGGGCAGTTGGTAAACCATTAAGAGACTACAAAAACTACGATATCACCATTCAAGGCTCAATATCTTTTTTTCAGGAATTGACACAAAGATGCTGTCAAGGGAGTTTGAAAGTTTATCCAATTTTTTTACCTGATATCTAAAAATTATCGCATGTTAAGATCCTGATTAGATAAAATTTAAGGAAATAAATTATGCCCTCTTTCAATTCATAAGTGCAAATCCACTTTTCTTTCCTCATTATCTCTTTGATGTTTTTCTTTACTCAGTGGATCGATTACTGTCAAAAGTGTGTCAGATGGTGCTTATTAAAATGCATATGGTTTGATGTGCAGTCGACGTTGAAGTTTGAGCATAGTCACAAAGTAAACAATGCTGAAAATTACTGCAGTGACATTTTCAGCATGAGTCTGTCAATGAGGTGAAATCCCCTGCACTGACCTCTTGACCACCTTGGTCACATCTGGATTGGATCGACAGTCGAAACCATCTTAAATAGCCACCCATGGTCGAGAAGAAAAGTTGCCATCTTAGACATGTGGCTGTCTTAGGTGCCATTATAATGTAAAAAATACTCAAGGGAGGAATGAGAAGCGACATTTGTACAGGTGATTGTCTTGTACACTTGGCTGTCAGAGCAGGTTTCACTGTATCTGTGTACAATGATAAAAAAACCCTGTTATGTTGTCATTTCTTTTTCCTTTTTAGGGGGCTTTTGGAAAGCAAATGATCTGCTGCAAAATGTTACAAATGATTCTGACTTAACAGCAAGTATTTGGATTCATGTCTTTTCAGGTGGAGAAAGTGGTTCAACAGCTGAACAAATCACAGCGATATCTCTATGTGGTGAGTTGTCACTCATATTTTTCATGGATTTTGAGAACACAGACTTTAAAAATGTGATGCTGCCAATCTTTTTCTCTTATAATCATATACAGTTTGTCTCTGGCAAATAGTGCATCGAGTAAAAGCATGATCTGCCTTAAAGTTAAAGACAGTTAGCTTTGCTCAGAGCCAGTTTTTAGTTTCAGTAGTTTTTAAGAAGCATTGCGTTTTACCTTTATTTGATGTTCCCAGTGAGACACTGATAACAGGATTAATTTTGTTCACTTCCATTATAATCAGTTTTTGATTTTGTGGCCTATTCAGTAGTTACTGTGCTTACGGTCATGTGTGGTGGATTACATTCAGCATGTTCTGATTTGGATATTAATTTTTGATTCCATTATTTAGTGTAATTCATTTGGATGACAAGCACTGTACTTGTTCTGTTTATAGAATAAATAATGACACATTTATAATATTCAAAGCAAAGATTAAACACTGTATGACCGGGTGGTTTTTTAAAGTCCAGATTTCAGCACAGAAAGAACGTGTTCAGTTTATAATTGTAAAACTTGCTATCCCAGCCAACAAGATGGGCAGAAAATAACTATATGAATTCCTCAAAGGCCCTAATGAAAGACACAAGTGGGTTTTTATTTCTATTCTACCAAACTTCTGTTGCTGATATCACTGAAAATGTGGCCTCTGTTAATACCCAACGAGAGTTTCTGGCGAATGGCAAGTTTGACTCTTATACTGAGTCTTTTATAAATTACACAGATGTATTACTTTTACTGAAAGATTACCTCCCCATACTATAGTGGTACTAGTTGGGATTCTTGGAAGAGCGACTACATACATATATCATATATTCACGTTGATTCCAATCAGGCGCTGTATCAATTTTTAGGCTTTTAAAGTTATTTGTATCAAGGGTCTTGCATTGGAAAACAATTGCCCATTATTTTCTATAGAAATCGTGATATTTCGGATTGAAGGAGGCGGGGTCACCTGGTTTCGGATGTAAAATTAGCAAGAAAATGGCCGCAACAGTTTGGTGACTTCCAAAGCTTGAGAGTCCTTGGAATCTGTAAATAAACGTTATGGGCATGTGCTGGTAAATAAACTAAAATTCAAAACTGATTGTTTTAAGGTGTGTTTTAGTGCTTAAAGCCTTTCTTTGAAGGCTAATTAGATGATATATGCCGGAGAAAATACAAAATTTGTGTTCATATTGAAAAAATGGCCAACATTTGTGACCGTTTTTTATTTTTTAATATTGTTTCTTTTTTCCTAAGGCTTTTTTGTTTTTTAACCAAGTGAGTTGAAACTTTTCAGGCACATAGTGCAAGACATGATTAAAACGTGAATCTCTTTAATTGAACAATTATTTTGATTTTTACATGACATAATCCTGAGGGGTTTTGTGCAATACAATTTGCATTCTAAATTCTTTCACATAAACTTCAGAAATCAAAAATGAAAACTGTGACATTCAAACTGTTCTATTTAAAGTTTAAACAATAAACAAGGAGTAATCCTGCCAAGTTTCAGCTCATTTGCTTGAAAAACAAAAAAGTTATAGGCATGTGTGTCACGACGCGGTGGAATCAGGCTTTCGTCAATTTTTGGGCACGTAGAGTTATTGGTATCATCTTAAAGCTTGTTCATTAGTCTTGCTTTGGGGGAAAAAATTAATATCCATTTATCTTGAATAGAAGTCAAGATATTTGTGAATGAAAGAGGAGGGGTCACCTGGTTTCAGATGTAAAATTAGTGAGAGAATGGCCTCCAAAGATGAATTATTTCTTTAGCTTGAGAGTCCATGAAGACTGAAATTATTTTTTTTTGGTGCCTTTTATCAACGTTTTTCTTTAAAATCCCCACTGAAATGTGGTCTTTAATGGGCATGAAAGGTGTTGAGCCAAAAAACGAAAATTTGATAACAATTCACAAACCTGCAGAAAAATGCCAGTTTCTTCTCTTTGATTATTTTGAGGAGCGCCTGATTTCACCACGCTGCCTCATGTGTGTGTAAAAAAACACAAGTCTGAGAAAATGGCCAACACAGATCAAACCGATTATAATACTGCGAATTACTCATGTAAAGAGAACTGGATTATTGCTATTATCGTATTGCTATTATCGAATGTATTTTCGTGCTGTTTTTGACTGCCAAATGACAAACAATGGTTTAGGAATGCAAATACGGGAAAATCTAACTGCACATGCCCTTCATCAACATTTTTCAGTACCACACAGCGATATGTTTTTAAATGGACATAATAGCCTAA